GAAGCCAATCTTGAGGGCATATGGCCCCACGGTCTGAGGTAAGTAAGAAGTGAAGAAATCTTCCATTAAGTCCCATGAAACCCATTGAACAAAAGTAGCAACCAAGACGGAAATATGTACTGAAAGTGAGTCTGAAATTAAACTGAATGTCCCAAGCACGCAATGAACCCAGAAGATACGGAGGCATACAAAATGGACTGTCAAAGCCGAGTGAGAACTCAACCGTGAGAACCCACCCCAGGCATATCAAGACATATGGAGTAAGATTGAATTCAAACAAGTATGGAGGACGCAAGATGGCTGGGAATGTTTATAACCTTTTGTATTTTGCCAACCAACAACGTTGAAGAACATGCAGGAGAGATTGAGGGAGACTGAGACCTCCAAAAGCCGCAGGCCCATGCACCGCAGACGCCAAGAGGTACAGTCTGTCGGAGTCCCAGGGAAGGCCTTCACGGGTACTTCCAACGCCACTTTTCCACAAAGAAGTCTCCGTCCCACCAGTAGTCAGACAGGTACCATACAACTGGGTGAGGCCAGCCCGATTCGGGGTCAAACCACGTGTCATAGTACTCCGTATACCAGACTTTGGTGTAGACTTTTTCCTCTTCACAGTAGTTCCACATTCCTCCTGAGCCGTGTGTCCACTTGAGACGCTTCTTGGCGGCTAGCTTGACTGGGAGGCTGCGTTTGGCCATCCCCTGGAATTGGATATGGATGTTTCCCAGCCGTCTCGGACGAGAGTTCCCGTCAGGGTTTGAGGCGAAACGGCTACTGACCAGCAGCCAGTTCTTTCCAAGGAACTCTCCGAACCCTTTCGTCGGGACCCCGAACGTTGACATACAGTCCATTAAAGCCGCTGTCCCGACAAGCTTTGAAAAGCGGGATTTTGCACCAGTCATATGTGAAAGGAGGACCACCAAGGTCCGATGGTATAAGAAACCGAGCCGGCAACTTGACCACCCTTTGGAATAGCAGCGTAGAGCAGTATGAGAGTGCCTCAAGATCTTGTTTAGACAGGAAGCAGACTTTGCGTTTAGACCTGCAAAGCTTCCCCTGAAAGATAACGTGAGGGTCCGACGCCTTGGGAAGTAGCATACCGAAAGCTTGAGCCCGAGACTGCAGGAGCCGACAGGAGGCAAGGGAAGGGGAGGGGCCCATCCCCCCAAACCCCAAGAGAGAAAAACAGACTCGAGTCCCAAAACACAGAGGCATCCTGAGGAAGGAGGGATTGTTGCGAAGCCACGGTGTCCCTCAGGGAGAGAGAGAGAGAGAGAGAGAGAGAGAGAGAGAGAGAGAGAGAGAGAGAGAGAGAGAGAGAGAGAGAGAGAGAGAGAGAGAGAGAGAGAGAGAGAGAGAGAGAGAGAGAGAGAGAGAGAGAGAGTAAGACTGCGGAGGCACTGAGCCTGAGCGGCCGGAAAGCTGGGATGGAGCTGGCCCCTGGAGTCCCTGGAGCTGGGGCCGGAGCGAGGGATAGGCTAAGGGGCCAAGATGGATTTGAATCAAGTCTGCAATTTCGCCCTCCCCCCCCCTGCGAGCGCTGGGAAACAAAACGTGATGTTTTGAAACCATCTTTCTCTCGGCCCTCGCGGCGTCGCAGGGTCGCAGGGGGGGGGGCGAAAGATGCGAAAGATGGCGGACGTGATTCAAATCCGCCGACGGGCCATCTGGGGCCCTCCTCTGTCTTTGTCTTTTTGCCTTCGGCGCTAAGTATCTCTCTCTCTCTCTCTCGCTCTCTCTCTCTCTCTCTCTCTCTCTCTCTCTCTTTCTACTCTCTCTCTCTCTCTCTCTCTCTCTCTCTCTCTCTCTCTCTCTCTCTTTCTCTCTCCTCTCGAGTCTCTATCTGCTCCTCCTCCTCCGTCTCCTCCTCATCCTTCACTTCTCCTCCTCCTTCACCTCCTGCTCCGTTGCTCCGGCTTTGCCCGAGCGCCTGCCAGCGCAGCTGACTGCCGAGCACGTGCCGGATCTCCTTCGCGAAGTGGATAGAGTCGTCCACGATGCTCTCTAGCAGCGGCGCCACCTGCGACACCTTCACGCGGCCGTTGGCCTTCGTCCCCAGCCCGAACTCCTTGCGCAGCGCCACTCTGGCGCCCAGGAGCGCCAGCGTGATGCGCGGGGCCCGGGCGCACGCCACCTCCCCTCCGCCCGTGTTCCGAGCCAGGGGCCACGGGCTACAGGGAGTCGAAAGGCCAGGGCCCCGACGGGGATCAACTGCGGCCGAACAAGTCCGGGGGTTGGGCCGCAGGTGCAGAGGCCGTCGAGTCGTCGAGCCGGGTCGAGCCGTCGACTCGCCGCTCGCCGCTCAGACTGCGGCACCGAGGCCCGATGGGCCCGGGGAGAAAGATACAGGATCTCAAGGTCTCAAGGGACCCTTGAGACCTTGAGACCTTGAGATCCTGTATCTGTGAGTCAAGTGTACACAATTACACCATCGCCAAAACGCACTGCGAGCGAACACCAGCGACCCGGCCACAACCCAGCCCGCCCCTCCCCTCCTGTATGATGTTGTTGATGCCCTCGATCTCCTGCGTGTCCCCGCGCCACCTCTCCGCCACGGCGCGGAGCGGGCCCCAGAGGCACATCGACAGCGCGCCGTTGTCCGGGTCGGCGGCGGCCTGCGCTACGGGGCGGGGCGGGCGCCGCTCCGCCCCCCCCCCCGCTCCTGCCCTCCTGGGCCCAGGGACACCCCTCCTCAGCTCCTCTCCTCCTCGCCTCTTCTCCTCCTCCCCCCCTCCCCCACCCTTTCCATTTTTCCGGAGGCCATTCCGCCTGGGGCACCTGGGGCACCGCCCCGCGTTCCTGGGCCCCGGTGCATCTGCGCCAGGACTTCCAGGCGGCCTCCACCTCCAGTGGCCTCATCATATCCATCCATCCATCCATCCGTCCACCCATCCCTCCATCCATCCATTAAACTAAAGTCAGGCGGGGGCGTGCGATTACTTGCCCACCACTGCCTGGAGCTCCGCCGGGAATAAGCGCTTCACCGCGGCAGCGGCGACGTGCAGCTCATCAGGGTTGCCGTCCAGCAACTCCCGGGCCACCTCGGCCCTCTCGCGGCAGCACTTGTCGGCGGGCGACTTGCAGAGGAGGAGGAGCTTCAGCGGGTATTCTGAGCAGGGGCGGACGATGCGAAAATCGCAATTACTTGCTGCAGCTAATACACCGCGCCGCATGCACCGACTGACCGCGGCACGACTCTCCGGCGGCACCCCGGTCATCACGTCGGGGAAGTCCGAAGACAACATGTCGTCAAATCCGCGTCCAATCCTGGCAGCTTCGCCATACACGAGCAGACCGAGATTCTGCACCTCGCCCCCAACCGATCGGCCCTTCTGAAGAAAATGCAAAAGGTGATCAAGCGGGCCCCGGATACAAGTGGAGACTCGGACTGCAATCCAGAACCTGTCGTCGTGCAGCGCCGTGAGGGCATCCTTGGCCCAGCGGGACATCTTCTCTGAATAGAGCTTGGACTCCTCGCCGCTGATCTCCGTGATCCCGCTGCTCCGGTCAGCATCTGGAACTGCCCGCGCGACGCCCGCAGAAGAGGCAGAAGAACGCACGAAGGCTGCCGTGAAGACCCGTCTGATCTGGTCGACTGGCGCACGGAGCAG